CTCGTCGTAAAAACCATCCTTGGACTTTAACAAACAGTTTAAAAAAAGAATTGGCCAAATTGATCAAGGCGTTGTAGAGTTATGCTCTTACCAACAGATTTTTGATTCATTTTCATATTATAGATGACTAGTAATAATAAAATCAACTCACACACTATCATTACCAATTTATATTTAGAACTTAACACAGGAAACTTCTAATGTTGGCTTTTACCTTAACTTCTAAGTTAGTATAACTTTAGATAATAACACTTAATGCACTTAATCGAATTTCGTCTATCAACTATGAAATACATAATAACTATATAATAAACATTTGAGGTTATTACTCTAATTGAGGTTATGTGCGTTATGAACATGTGTTATGACCATAGTTGGCATTTGCATGCGCAGGAGGAGTATAAATATACGTTACAGGCGTTTCGCTTAATTGCTAATCGAACGATAAATCGGTAATCGCCGTAATCACGCATCCATCGCGAATGATCGACGTAGCGGAACGTACATGTCCATAACTGGATGTGAATGTAATGTTATATGTCAATAACTTCACTCTACGATACTCCACGATAAGATAATACATGTTATTAATATTAAGTGTTCCAAGCCAAGAAAACCCATTAACCTCCAAGATACAAGCGCCATCTTGTTGACGATATGATTTTAACTTAAGTTAAGTACACAATAAAATAATGCGACTATTATCGTATTATAAGAAGTGCACCGCAATGATGTTATTGTTTTCGTCACGCTTGAAAATATGAAACTCTTTGATTTTACGATTGTCTATTTACGATTGTAACTTACTTTTAATGGCTGCAGTGTCGTAACAATGCGAAGATTGAATCGTATTCATATTCTACTCACCTGAAAACAAAAATACAGTTTATTGTTATTTTTAATGCAGAAAATAATGATTTATCAATTAATTTGTGAGGATTTATAGCGATAATAAATCATTTTGTAGTGAGCGTGAATTCATGCATGTTTGACATCAATGACAACGGAATGCAATATATTAGATCATCAATTTTGTGTGTGACGTTCATGTGAATAACAGAATCAAGAAATTTTTATTCATTCAGAAATAATGTATAATATAAAAATAAATCGCTAAGTTTGTTGGTAAGCGCATAACTCAACAATGCCTGGATCAATTTGGCCAATTCTTTTTTTAAAATGTTCGTTAAAGTCCAAGGATGGTTTTTACAACAAGAAAAATTGGAATAATTGTCGGGAAAACCCTAAAGACAGCCCTTTTCTATAGGATAAAAGTTGGCATTGAGATTCAATCATAGTTATAGTTAAATAGTTGAATCCGAGATGGCGCGCGGAAGTGCATTAATAGCAATTCTTAATATTATTAATTTGTTTAAAATAAAATTGCGAATCTTATTGATAGAATTGACACATACTATGTCTAGAACAAGAGACTAAAAACTAATTACATTTTTATTAAACACTACCGGAACGAAGTCGCAGGCAAAAGCTAGTATTGAAATAAAATTTTGTTTGTTTACATTTTGATACATATTGCATCTGCATGCATTCTGAATGGCCTCAATACGTATCCGAAAACAGACAATTTCAATTTGTGCTTGGTAAGCCGGGACACGAAGTGAACTCGCTTGAACCGTCCGGCGACCGAGTTTGCAGCATTGCGGCACACGATGAAAAGCGCCGCCTCACCGACCGCCAAAACGTCGTCGGGCATGTGCACATGTTGACCACTGCATGTCCATGTCCGATGTCGCTTATTATTAGCAATATGGAAACGTTGGACTGTATGCATAACAATTCCGGATCAGAACAATACTCGGATTGCTTACAGGCTTACCAAGTGTATATACTATTCTATTATTATAGTTGTAGTGGAATAGTGTAGTCCGTAGTTGTTTTTACTTTGCAACGCGACACGACAAGTGTAAAATTGTAATGGCGTAATGGATACGCCGCATGGGAACAGGGCAAATGCAACAAATGGGATGCGACAGACGGGGAATCATATAGAAGCATGGAAAAAGCAGTGCTTACTGTGCAACAAGCTGGCGTCCACAATGGAAATGAAAGCTAGCCAAGTGCTAGATGAGAAAAAAGCAAAAAAATGAAGATAAAAAGAAAACTCACACGCGGAAAACATGAAAGTGGTGTTGAAAGCGTCTATTCAACATATTCCACGATAAAAATTTATATCAAAGAGAAAAAATGCAATAAATAATGAAGTTACTGAATATATTTTATAAAATAATAATAAAAGTAAATTTTTATAATAAAAACACAACAATTTAATAAAATTATTCTTTTTGTTTGTAAATTTACATAAAAAGGCCTCAATTTTATTTATTTGACAAATATATAATATAAAAATGAATCGCATAATCTGTTGGTAAGCGCATAATTCGACAACGCCTAGACCAATTTGTTTAATTCTTTTTATAAATGTTCGTTAAAGTCCAAGGATGGCTTTTACGGCGAGAAAAATTCAAATCATTGCTGGGAAAAGCCTAAAGACAACCTTTTTCTAAAGGATAAAAGTTGGCATTGACATTCAACCATAGTTATAGTTAAATAGTTGAATCCGAGATGGCGCACTGAAATGCATTATTAGCAATTTTTTATATAATTAATTTCTTTCAAATAAAATTGCGAATCTTATTGATAGAATTGACACATACGATGTCTGGAACAAAGGAGTTAAAACCATTTACATTTTTATTAAACAATACCAAAACGAAGTCGCGGGCAAAAACTAGAATATTTCATAAAATAATAATAAAAGTGAATTTTTATTATGAAAGAAACAAGAATTTAATAAAATAATTTTTTTGTTTGTAAATTTGTCTAAAAATAGCTCAATTTTATTTATTTGACAAAAATTAATATATAGGCAACCAATTTTACACTTTCCAACGGTAATTCTATTAGTTCAGTTTATTCACTTCCTAGCTTATTAATATAATGATGTTTCCTGCATTAGCATTGTTAATTGTCACGATAATCACATATCAAAGGACACCTTATTTGCTTGACTCAACATACTGCAATCAATATTTGAAATGCTTGCACTGCCATCAGGCAATAGATAACGCAGCACGCGTAATCAATTTTGACTCGTTTACCACCGCGATCGCTTTGCAGCGAGAATAGAGTTAGGGCTCGAGTTGTCACTCCAGGCGTGCACAAAGTGATACTGCAAACAAGCCCCATCTTCACATCGCAAAGCCTTTGGTTTGCTTCGCAAGCGGCGAGCCAATGTAAATTCGGTTCTAACTACCCGACACGTGCCAACACACGCTGCACAATCATAGACTACAATTATAGAGACATATAGACATGTATCATGTCTATATGTGCGTCTAGTAGTTTAGATATAGCTATAACTCAACATACTCGTAGGCACAAATGAGGAATAGAACATGATGTATTTGTGTGTATTTAAGCCGAGGTACTTGTAATCACTGAGAATATATATGACCCAGCTAGCGGTATGTTCAGAGGGATAACGTTAGATGATATTTGTTTACATAGGATGCTAAGGTTGATGTAGATTTGCACCTTATAGCTGTGCACTATCTTTAATCAACTTCAAAGAGAATTATTTGAAGAAAACTACTATTTTATTAACTTTATTCTTAAAATATAGCTAATTATTTATTATGGAACGTTTTTTTCATAATACGTGGTGTTCATTAATAATATATTAAGTATCAAGTGAATAAACGAGAGTTTTTGTCACGAGGTTGTTTAAGTTTTGTATTTTTAATCTTTAAAATTCACTCGCACACTAATAGAAAATGTAAGGCGTGACTAAAGCCGTGACTAAAGTATTTTAGTCACTGCTTTGACAGTCCGTGTATAAATTAGCACTTTTTGTGTCTCAAAACCGTAGAAAAATTTGTGCTTTATAAGTGAAAGTAGAAAATTAAATAAAAACTGCATAACCTTATCATTTTCCCTTTTTAAAACTGTTTTTTGATAAAAATTCCAATTTTTTAATATAAAATGTCAATTTCCAAGTAAATTATTAATTATTCTGCAACATTTAAACCACATGCGATAAGGAAATACTGATAAAATCAATTATTACTTCAACTTTTAAAACTTTCTTATTTTTATCACGAGTAAAATACAAAAATACAATATTAAAGTATACCCTTGAGACGTTTCCTGTTTTCTGTTGTATTGTATAATGTTACTCTACTCAACTGATGAAATTTATATGAATCCAGCTTTAGTTTGCTAGTGACAAAATAACAGAATAGAAACAGGCGCAGCCTTTGACTGATTTGACTGATGCCACTATGTGACGAAAATCTAAGCACAAGCACAAAACTATATCCCCAACGTGAGCATGTATAAATTTTCAAAGCCTGCTCTATGTAATCATCAGTCAGACATCACGCTGACGCCGACGGTGCTACTGATGGTGATAAATCTATCAGGATATTAGCAAAATTAACATGTGTCTATTCTACGAGTATGCGCATATTTGCTATTCAACGATTAGTTTCCTCAAGAGTAAGCATGTAAAGTTAATCAAATCTTTTTTCATTCAAGCGAGTGATTGATGATTAAATAATTAATTTATCCATCTGTATCAATACTCATAGTTCATTCATTAAATAAAAATACCCGGCACGAAATTAACTTTCAATGACTGCTCGATGGCGAAATAGATCAAGCAAAGGTAAGAAGTCGTCGTGGCGGGCGTATAAATAGTGTCCATTCGAAAATAGCGCACGCCGAGTGGAAGCTCGAAGTCGACCGCGGCGTCCGCTTCGAGTTTTCGAGTCGATCGCAAACTATTTCTGACTATGCCCTGCTTCGTACTCCGACTCTCCAACTTGCTCGTTCAATCTCACGTGTCATTTCAAGCATGAAGTTAAAGACTATTTTAGTATTGTCAGTTTCTTCCGTCAGAAACAACCAATTAACAGTTTAAATATTTTTGAGGTTAAAATTTTTGTAGGTTAAAATTTTTGAATTTTTCGTTTGCTTACCGAAAACTTTGGAGAATTGCGCCGGTGGCCGCCAATCCGGGTAGTGTTTTGGGAATTTCTCGCGCGACCAGAACGTGTGCAGCACCACCTTGTACACGGTGAGCTTGTCCGGCTGGCAGGGCTCGTTCTCCGCCTGCAGCGCTTGTTGCTGCTGCCCTTGTTGTGCCGCCTCCAGCTGCCGCACGCTCGCCTCCAAGAGCACTCCGCACGTCAGCAACGCAACCAAATGTACATGCACGTGCATCTTAAACCGCATATTATACAATCTCCTCCAAAAAAATCAAACAAATTAAGTCGTTTTTAATTTACACTAAAATTTAACACATTCAGTTAAAATTTTCACTTTCACAATTCATGTTTGTTAATAGTTTGATTTTTGTTTAAAAATCACAATGTTTTTATTTATTTATATCGAATTATTAAGATCGAATGAGAACGAACGTGGACGCGTTGTTGCGGTGCGCAGGAGAACGCGACTCGTTCGAGACTGGCGGCCGGTGCTGCCGGCAGATCCTGCCAGCCAGACAGTCAGAGAGAGGCGGCGGCGCCGGTGGCGGCAACCGCGGCAAACACCCAAACTCACAGTGGTACAATAGTAGATACCACCCACACTATACTATACAAACAAACCAATTCGTATTCGTATTTATTTCTACCTTTAATTTATAATTCACTTTTTTATTATTTCACAAACACGAATTCAACTAAAACAAGTTACAATTAAAGTTTATTCCCAACATTACGGGTTACGGTGTAGATGTAGACGTAAGTGAAAATAGAACAGACGCAAAGTTAGACCCGGTAAAGAAATAAAGGAAGACAATTTTATTACAAGTTTGTTGTTGCAGTTGACGTTTATCGCAGACGCAGGACATGTGCATGAACATTTTGATGTTCATGTTCATGAGCAATTCCATTGACTGCAGGCAAACACACAACTGAATTCATATTGCGTTAGAGCAGCTAAAGGCGAGTTGAAAGTTGCATTTTACAGTTTGCAGTTACGAATATTGCAAATTGCATAATATCGGTAAGTACATAATCGCTACATATGTGAACACTTTATAAACAATAAATAATGATAATATTCAGTTATTTTTTAATCCACTTGAAGAGAAAAAAAGCTATATAAATGACATAACCTCACATTTCTTCTATTATTTTGTTTTATTTGAATATTTTTGATGTTTTAAGAGTTATTTTACAATATAAAGCCTAAATAAATATAAATAATTAAAATTTACAATAGTAGAATCAAAATTCTTAAGTTTTTAATGCGTAATTAAGCAATTTGTCAATTATAACCTCAAAAAAACTTTTTTTAATTTTTTTTAATTCTCCAACCAATTTTAAACTATAACAATTCCAAATTTAGCACCAAAACTCTGAATTTATCTAGTCTAAAATATTCCCTACCCCTTTTTGCTTCTACACGTCGCACACGTAAATCCTCCTGGGTGCAATTAGCAAAACAAATTTGATATTCAAAACGACAGCGCGTTGTACCGCAAACGACGTCGAAATCAACCCTGAAAAATATTCGCATAAGTAACGCCTGCGCGCAACGAATATGAAACAATGAAAGAATTTCATGTGTTGACCAAACACAAACAGAAGAAGATGAGCGATGCGCGCGGAAAACACAAAATAAATATGGCGATGTTGTAAAAAATGCTAAAAATGCAAATCGAGTGAATTAAATTCAAATCGCCCTTTGCGCCAAATTACATTTTAATTATACAACGCGTTCAGCGCTACGTATACATTCAGAATCAAGTTTTTCTGCGTTTACATACACAAATAATGTGAAATATACAGTGTGGTCACCGGGAAATATTATTAATTATTATATTATATTAAATATCACATAATTTTCAACATTTATGAAACAAAATAAAAAATTTTATTTTTTTTAATTGATTTTTTGAGTTTTTACTTAAAGTTTGGTTTATTTTTGGTTATGCCATACTGTATGTTAACTGTAGATTTATCCGTAACAACCTGCGTGTTCACGCGTTTGCATTTACATTTGGCGCTGTGTGTGTGCAAAATTTAAAATTCACCCTTCGTGCGTTCGACGGGGTTCATCTGGCCGAAGCGTTTGCTTGATCCTTGTACGCATCAGGACGAGTGTATTTCCGCACCTGCAGTGAGCAGCGTAAACACACGCACTGAGCTTATAAACATGTATAAAGTCATAACCATTACAACTCTCTTTATTTCCGCCTACACACCGAATAGGATATATTAATACACACATAAATATAGACGTGGATAAAATATAGTATTATACCATTGTAATAATTTAAGTCGGTAGCGAATTGACTGAATTCAATTCTTGTGTAATTCAAATGTAATATTCATTTTCCCGCAGGGTATTACCGCATTGACTTTGGTAGAAGTACTGCTAGTACGGCGATATCTACTAGTGAATTGTGAGATCTAGCTTATCTCCTTGCGGTGTATACATTGTAGGAACGAGAACGTAATTGCTTGTCCAGTACAGACTCCAGTACAGAGCTATATAGTTACATTAATACATTCGTAAATTCTATTCCACGTTGTACGAGTATGGTAGAATGGTAGATACACCTATAGAAGTGTATATATCAGATGCTAGATTCGTCGCCAAAACTTACAGTGCCAAAGTCTGCAGACTCAAAAGCAGAGATATTTACTTGTAGGATATATCCTACTAGTAAGAATGGAGGAATGGAGGATATAGATAGAGTTAGATTTAACTAAATGTCTACTGTCTGCAGACTGGGGTTTTATTTTAAAGTACCAGACAGCCAGCAGGGCCAAGGACAATGTCATGCCAAGAACAAGGAAAAGGATTATACAACTGGTAGTATAATGGGTATAATTGTTTTCGTTATAATTGCTTAGCAAAAGTGAAAAACAATGAATTACATTGATGAGCAAAGTATATAGGCAACCATATTAACTTTACTACTTGTATTTAAGTATTTTATTGTTTTTCACTCTCCCAGTATAATATTTTTGTCAAAATTGCTGGTTTAGTTGTTAAATATTAACATTTTAGTCTTGTAACGTCGCTTTTGAGAAAATAAAACGGAAAACTTAACGTTTATTTGATTGTTTTTGTAAATATAAAGTAAAATACAAAGACGTTGCATTTCCTAGGCAACTTTCTAAACGAAAATGTGACATTTAATGGTATCAAGACACAAGTATTGACTTTAAGGCGCCTTAAATATTGTTTAAACAAAAAATAATAATTTTGGAGGAGCTGGGATTTGAACCCAGGACTTTCAGCATGCGAAGCAGACACTCTACCACTGAGTTACACCCCCTGATGATACCTTATCCTCAACGAACACAAACACGGTAAATTATAGAATTGTATTGAAATGAAATAATTCCAGACCAAAACTACATTATAACTTTTACCTCCTATATATGCACTTTGTCTATCTTACCCTCTTGCCAACAAGACAGTCTGGTAAATCCTAAATCCACAAACAACACTGTATAACGTCTGGCGCGTCCGAACGTACGATATGTTGATTACCTTCGAATTAGGTTGGAATAGGTTGGAATGGTTTTGGTAAATCTAATTACCCGCAGGCAAATTGCCCCCTTCTTCTCCAATGCGCCCTTCTCGCCCTATACTCACTGATCAGCACTTTGCAAATCCACTTGCTCTCACTCTACCTTCTATTTCGGGGGTGTCTCTTCCCTACGTCGCTCGGAATTAACATCTTGCTATTCTAAATAGCGCATTACTATCGCATCACCATCACCCTCGCAATTATTTCGCAAGTATCCAGTCCGCAGTGCTTCACGCATCGACTGCCGCTTTTGTAAGCCAGGCAGAGCAAACAAGTTGCAGGATTCGCAGATATGCGAGCTGCGAGACGGCGAGCAAACAAGAACTAACAAAGTTTCCGAGCTCCCCCAATTAAATTATAATAATGACATGAAGGCAGTCAAGACTGTAACGGATTAAACGCATATTGCGTTAATTTTACGCGTCGCGAGCTTGATACACTCTTTAATGTTGAATATAATTTGGATTTGACAAGGAAATTTTGTGCAAATTGTAGTGTTGTTATCTATAACAATTAAGGGGGTGTAACTCAGTGGTAGAGTGTCTGCTTCGCATGCTGAAAGTCCTGGGTTCAAATCCCAGCTCCTCCAAAATGCAAATAATATTTTTGTTTTATTTGTGGTTTAAAATAAGTAAAATAAGTGTTTTTGCGTATTTGAATAATTTATATTCATCGCATGTCTGTTAAAAGGTGAATGGGTCTTCTAGAAAGGGGAGACATGCTTTTGTTTTTGCTTTTCTGGAATGCGAGGACGTCGGAATCGTGTTGGAATGCTTCCGCAGTTGGCGCTGCAGCCTGATTCGCAATTCTCACCTGTGATTTCATGTTTTCACAGTTTTACATTGCCTACAAACACCTTGAACAAAGACAACATAATATTTTCTTTAGAATTAGGCAAATTTTTTACTTATAAATTTTTTCTATTTTATTTTACTCTAAGTAACAATACACTGCATAGCAAGAGTAGAAAACTTTGTATATATGTAACTAGCTTTAACCCGCGGCTTCGCTCGCGAATATCTAAAATAATGAAGTTGCTTCCAGTCACAGAAGAAGTAACAATGAAGTAGAATGGCGGGAAGTTTAAAATAGCTGAAAGTATAGTCTATGGAAGTATAGTGTACAGTCTCCATAGTGTAGTCAATTGGATTTGATTTTGACGTAGTTGTCGGTAATACAGTGTGATGGTACTATAGTACTTAGGTTTGAGCTTCATTGCTGGAATGCTAGATGGCGTTAAAGTAGTCAAATAGCCAGATGCAGAGGTATTATTGGCTAAACAATTTCTATATTTTATTTTAAAAATATTTTTTTTTAATAAAAAGTAGCCCATATCCATTCGGGGACCACTAAGAATATGTGTACAAATTTTCATGATGATCGGTTAAGTAGTTTTTGCGTGAAAGTGTAACAAACATCAGGAGTTTTGCATTTATAATATTAGTAGGGATTTAACGTTTTCCACTCTTAATATGTAATGGACTCTGAGTGTGATTAAAAAAAAAAGACGGGAAAAAAACATGAAACACAGAGTTGACAAACAAGTAGGGGACCGATCGGAAGATTGAATGGACAATCGGACGAAAGGGCGATAAACGAATGGACCCGCCGACCGACGAACGCATCCATATATCTCTTCGAAGAAAACACGCACGAATATACCGAAACAAAACGCATTCCGAAACAAATCCGGGCAAAAACCTTTGAAAATTCTTTGTGCAAACCCACAATAAATCACGATCCAACCAAACATTACCTTTTTGTATTCGAAACTTACTCTTACTTTATTCTGGTTTTCATTACCAAGTTACACTTAAACAACTATTCTCTTAAAAATTATAAAATCGAAAAAATTTGATTTGCAAAATGGGATGCATAACCATCAGGGGGTGTACTCAGTGGTAG